GCCCCATCCAACCATTATGTGAAAAACTTGATGTTTTAGGCTGAAACCATAGATTTCAATTTTTTCAAAGGCCAACAGATACCTACCATCAAAGTAAGATGTTTATTTTATAGTCCTCCAGTATTCAAGCTGCCTTCAGCTAAAAGCCTAAATTAATAGACTCATTTCTRCATGCTCCCTGATCATTACAGAGTGTGAACTGGAAAATTAACCTTTTCTCAAATGACTCTTTGTCAGTTTTRCTACAGATAGGTCCTAGGTAAACAGGTAAGTTGGTAGCAGAGCAAAGCACAAAAAAACAGAGTATTTCTTTCCTTTACTATTCTTCGTGCTATGTTTTCTGCTGGGCTTATTTAATTTTATTATTCTTGTTAGTAAAACTGAATATCCAGCACGAAGGCATTTAGAAAACACAGCACTGTCTGCACTGCAGGCCATTAAATCTTTGTAAATCAGCCCTGGAATATCAGCCTTTCCAATACATCATTATCTTTTTGCATGGTGAGTTGCTCTAATTGCAAACTGCCTAGATGAGATCTCACCCGTGCATTGTAAAATCACCACAAAGCATAATTGGATGAGYCTTAACCATTCTTGGCAGCAGTCAATCGCTTCTACTCCAGTGGTTTGTGAAGGTATTAATGGAAAAAAACAGCTTCAATGTGTATAAAAGAAGGTTTTGGCTACCTATTTTCTCAGTGAGGAGAAATCCTTTTGTTGATGGGGAGGAGCAGGGAATCTCCACCAATAAAAATGTACAAAAAAAAAAAAAAATCCATGAACCCATTAACGACTCTAAAATGCCTTTTGTTTCAACAGCTACCAGTAGCCAAACACCACACACATACTCTTATTCAATTACATTTTTTTCCTCAAATATTTAATTTTTAAGTCTGTCTTCAGTTCCAGTCTAGCTAAAGTGAGACAGAGTCAATGTGCATATTCTTCTAAACTGGGCTAAAGGCCACTTTTTAACTTCTTCCTTTCAAATATGTTCACGTAAACTGAGGACAGAAATCTCTGCACAATTACTGGCAAAGGTGCAACTCTTCACTGGATTTTAATTCTCAGATAAAATGCACACAACTTGCTGCACAGATTGTCAGCATGTCTCAAGAAGAGCCTTGCATCTTTCCAAGGTAACAGTGGAGTTCATCTCCCATGTCAGGCAGCTGGTTCCCAAACTTAGCAGCCCTTTGGAAAGCCATAAATGGATATTCCTGTCCTTGGACACTTGGCTCAAAGAGTTTGGCAAGGGCTGTTTGCATGGGAAGATCTGGATCCAGAGTTAGTGTCTGATATTACCTATGTGCTGCCTGTTATTGGTGTGTCTGTTCAGATATTTTCCAAWACAACAGTTCTCAGCTGCTTGTGGGACAGATTGTTAGGAATGTCAATATAATGGACATGGATGTTTTTTTAAAAGTGTTTATTGCTTTTGCAATTTTTTTGTTTACCTGTTCCTGTTGTGCAAAAAAACCCAAAATTATATATATAGATATGTAACATGGAGATGTTCAGATCTTTACAGTGCCGTAAAATGCACGCTGAAAAATCACTGGCACACAGAGCCAGCCAAAGAAGGCGCCTCACTTTATGTAAGACTGGTGTCATAAAATATTTAAATGCTTTCAGAGTGTGTGGCTTTCAGCTCTCTCATGCAGATAAGTGTCACACTGCCAGGCAGCTTTGCTTAAGGAGTATGGCACTATCTATAAAACAACTTTTCTTCATTTCCTAAGAAAACTCTCTAGTTAAACATTTCTCATCAAAAATAGAGATTGAGTCATCTTTTCATTCTTCTCTCCTTTATTAGGTACTAACCTAGTTATTCAAGCAAGTGTATAGAAAGATTTGATCTCTTTCTTTCTTCCTTTTTTTTTTTTTTTTTNCTTTCTGGGCAATGCACCAGCCATTTATGCCTTTGGAAAATATCACTACCCATTCCCATTCTCAGAGCAAGCAGCTCTTACAGACAGCATTGACTGCAAGGACCCTGTCCCTCATGGGGACTATAAAAATCTATATTAGCCAATAGTGGGATAAGTGTCTCAAAGAGAAGGGGAAGTGGAAAAGGAAGCATGCTATAATATTTTACATRTTTTGATAACTTATTGGTCCTCAGATCTTCCTGTAACATTGCTTTTTCCCTAGAGTTTTTGGGGCTTTGTTAGGGTTTTTTGTTTGGCTTGGAGGGAGGGATGGACTTGTGTGGTGTTTGGTGTGGTTTGCTTTGCTTTTGGTTTTGGTTTGGGGATTTTCTTTTCTCTTTTGCTTTCTGTTTGGGCCTTCTTTTCTGACAGATTTTTTCTCCCTTTGCTTCATCTCCCTAGGAAGGAGCCCCTTTCAATTGACTCCAACTGTGCATATGTTGTTCCTTTAGGGTGTTACTGAGATTTCACTGAATACTTCTGACCATCTTTCTCTAAAGTCTTTAATCCCACAAAAAAATCTTTTAGTAGGGATTCCTACAGCCGCATTCACAGTTTCTGCAACTAAAATACAATCCTCCTCTGCTATCATCTTGGGTTGCCCCCTGAGGCTGCTCCTGGATCCCAGGCAGACTGTTTGAAGTGGAACGAAATCAAGATCACGCTCACCTTTCAGTYTGTCCTTTTCCCTCCTATTCTAGTGGAACTAGGGCATCTTCCACTAGTTCAAGAYGGCAGGATGGCTTGAGAAGGCTGACTCTTCTCTGAAGTGTAGGATTCAATTTAGTGGCTTTAGTTTGAAATTCAGAYAGTTTAAGTTTCATTGCACTGAAATAGCTGCTTGATTCAGGTGACATACCATAGGCAGTCATGAGGTATTGCCCTCTCCTGAGTTTTCTCTGCATTGTRGAACACCAGTACAGTCATGTATCACTGGAGACCGTCTTCTAAATTCTCAAATTCCCCAGAGCTGCACTGATGAATTTRCAATCTTCAGTTACTTTAGCATTGTTAAAATTTTATTCCTGCTTCTGTTGTGCCTTGTATTGTGTGKCTGGTTTCTGAGCATCCCACATTTTTCATCTCACCTTTTAAAATTCCAGCTTTCCCTTTCAAGGCAAAAACACTTAAATTATTTGCAAGTCTCTGGTTCTGCAGTAGCAGTTTTAAGAATGGCACTTTGCCATTCACTGTAATGCTGAAAATCCCATTAGGCTTATGGTCATACTCTGGTTTACTAGTAGAACTGCTTTCCATTGTTACACACTGATTTAGCTCCTGCATTATTTCCATCCATGCTATATAGAGCAGAAGGGATAAAGTTCTGGACACATGTGGTTCATTTGTTTTAAAGAACAAAATATCAGACAGAAATAAATACACAAAAAAAAATAATAAACACTGACCACATCAAATCAAATGARTTAAAGTATCCTTTTGCACCTCTAAAAACACCAACATTCCTTCTCTCACAGACATACAAGTCCTGCATGACTTTCTTCTTTTATTTGTTCTCACCAATACAAAAATAATTTTAGGCAGTTCAGTGGAATAAAGACATGTTTGTCTTGGAGCAGTACAGAAAAGCCTGATCCTCTGGATTTAGTTTTGTTATGAGAAATGATTACACTACAACATGTGCTCACTTTTTTTGGAACTGCCTGTTTTTTCATAGGTTTTATTTCAAACTGGAAATCAACTTGTGTTCCATTCATTGCTATTTCTTACATCGTTCCTCTGAACTTTTAACAGCTTTATTTCAATCAGCCTRTGAACTTTCCCATTCCCCCCAAATCCACATTATGATCTGCCAGTCCACWAGTCAACTTTCCAGTACATGTTTAATCAGTTTATTGCAGAAAAGCCTTTTCATGTAGGTTTCCAATACAGTTAGCCTTATGGAAGCAGTCAGGCAGTGTGTGCTTGTCTGTCCATCTAACCATTTGTCTGTCTGTTACTTGCAAGATGTTTAAAAACCTGTCAATAGCATCCTCCCTCCCCAGATTGCAATRAAAATAAGCAGCTGTATAGGTCTTCCTATATCTAGTGAAGGAGGATTGTCTACTGATGGGAGAAAAAAAATCTACAAGGCCTAACAAACAAATGAGAATCCACTCAGGAATAAGCAAGCAGAAAACCCAAACTGCAAGAAACTCTTCAGTCAACTTGCATGGTACAAGACCCTGAAGAATTGGATGTCAAACCACTGATGCAAGTTTTGGTGTTTCTGCAGTTTGTGGATTGCACAGTGGCTGGGGACATAAAAAGAGATTTGGAAGGAAAGACTCATCTTTTCACAATATTTGCGGGATCACTAGTTGATGTTTATTTAGCTGGTGTCATAAATGTTGACTTTTGCGTAAGTCAGATGGAACAGGCTCCAAAGGCATCTACTTTTCCTTATCAGCTGTGGAAGCAGCCAGCTCAGGTGCAGSTATCTGTGTCACAGACACCTGTGCATTCAGTGCAGGACATCCACTTCCATCATCTCTCTGTAGGCAGACRGGAATAGCACCTTTTTGGAGGGATRATTTTGTCTGTCACYACACCCTGCTCAAACCCACTGATGTYAACTATTTAGGAGYCCTGGGRTCRTGCCCTACSACCACYGGGGGACAAGGGCTGCTCCAAGTCACYGTGGTGGGAGTAGATCCAGCTCCTGTTACTGTGCTTGTGCCAGTGCACTCCCGAGAATGGCTGTGAAACMCAACCAATGCCAGAGCTGTCGTGGGGCAGAATGTAGAAAAAAGTACCTAGCCACCCCTACCAGGACTATCAGCCTCCCTCTGTGAACCATTTTTTATTTCCTAAGAGGTGTGACYTAAGCTATTTATTTTTGTAGGAAGACCTGCTGTGTGCTGACAGGTAATCAGAAGCATGTGCCACAGTAATTAGCCCAGCTTGTTCYAAAATTAGGAATATTGACCAAGTGGTTCAAAAGGGATTTTGTAGTACCAGATGTGGTTTGATTATGAGCACACCCACCATCCTTGCTGCTGTTGGAGCACCTGAGTGGGCTGAGCTGCACTGTCACTGCATTCTAAGCTCTGATTCTTTCCATGTTTGCAGGATTTCACACTCCAGCCTCCGGGGATGCCAAGGAAAGCTTCATGGAGAAGTGCTCCTGTGGCTCTCAGTAGCCATGCTATGGCCATCTCGAGCACCAGGCACTGGCGGGGCAGGGCTGACCCTTTGGGCATGGTTGGTGCCTCGTTGAAGAGCCCAGAGCCTGAGCAGCAGAGGATGAGCCAGTCCCCTCTGAGCTGGTTCAGAGGGGTGTATTTACCTCCTGCTCTGCACCCACTAAACAAGACATTCCTCAAGGGTGGYGAGTGGGAGGCCATGGACAGCACCCAGGAAAAGCGGAGGGCCTTCCTGCAGGACTTCTGCAAGAAACACAACAGCAGAAAGATGCTGCAAACCCACCTGGTGCACCTGGTGTCCAGAATTTACGTGGAGGACAGGCACAAGGTGCTGTACTGCGAGGTTCCAAAAGCAGGCTGCTCCAACTGGAAAAGGGTCCTCATGGTGCTCAGCGGCCTCGCTGCTTCAGCAAACAACATTTCCCATGATGATGTGCACTATGGAAAGCATCTGAGGAGACTGGACAGTTTTGACCTCAAAGGGATATACGTGCGCTTGAACGCGTACACCAAGTTCATATTTGTACGCGATCCTATGGAAAGATTGGTGTCTGCCTTCCGGGATAAGTTTGAACATCCCAACAGCTATTACCATCCAGTATTTGGGAAGGCAATAATTAAGAAGTACAGGCATAATGCAGATGAAGAAGCGCTGAAAACAGGATCAGGAGTTAAGTTCAAGGAGTTTATCCAATACCTGTTAGATTCCCATCGACCAGTAGGAATGGACATTCACTGGGAGCAAGTCAGTAAGCTCTGCTATCCCTGCCTCATCAACTATGATTTCATAGGMAAGTTTGAAACCCTGGAAGAAGATGCCAATTACTTTTTGCAGCTGGTAGGTGCTCCAGCTGATCTGAAGTTTCCTAAATTCAAAGACAGACATTCTTCTGACGAGAGAACAAGCGCAGAAGTAGTGAGGCAATATTTAAAGGAATTGTCTAAGGAGGAGAGACAGCTGACCTATGACTTCTATTATTTGGATTATTTAATGTTCAATTATACATCACCACTTGTATAGCACCAGAATAGCTTCAGGCTTCTATTAGGTATTTATCRTTTTGGGATTCAAAACAACTACTTYGATATTAGCYCTGAAAGGAAATGAAGTTACTGCTAAGTAGAGATATCTTGACTTCATGGGCTATTTATAAGTTAGAGTGATATCAATTGATATTAAATTATGGAGAATGCAAAGAAAAAAAGACCTGTAAACAGCATAAATTGCACTAAAATGCCTGAAAAGGCTGCTTTTACCATTATGGATTGTACTATGGAAGCAGTAGCTCAGCCAGCTGTTGCATTACCTTACCTAATGTTTTTTTAATGGTTTTAAAGAAAAAAAATTCTGAGTGGCATGATTCTTTTTTTTTGGTGTGGTGCTTTAGAAATTGCTTTTGAAAAAAACTTTTGAATGTATTTTTACTTTCTGTCACTTATTAATAAAGAATCATTGGTTAATTTTCTAAAATATTTATGGTGTTCTCAGTTGTGAGGCCTGTTTTTTCTGATTACTATTAGACTGTAGCCAATTTTAGACCTGATCTTTTTATTGAAGGATGCTCTTGAATACAAATCAARCTAAAAATAATGCAGCAGCTCAGGTGATGAGGAGAGTAAATTTGGGTAAGACTGTGAAAGACCAGTCCCCTACCTCATTGTGACTGATGCACTGGAGTTGACAAGTATGATCCTCCTTTCAGAGAGCTGCTGCATTCAACAAAATAAAGATTTTAATGTTGCGTAGATGCATCATTACACATGATACATGCATTCTGTGGTCCCAATATTCATGGTAGTCTTCATTTTTGGTGAAATGGACAAAGTTTCAGCATGGTAGCTCTGGGATATTCTAAGGTCTATACTGAGAAGCATCTTCAATGCAAGTGTTATGACCATTCTCTGTCTGCTGGGATCCAGTTATCAGCCCAGCTCCCAGCAATCTGTTACAGAGAGGATGTGTGACCATTGCCTCCCAAATCTGGAGGGGGGGCTGTCTGTCCCCAGAGCTCTTTGCCCCAAAGTCACCTGTGTTTTGCTGTCTTGCCTTGCCAGCAGCCACCAAGCCCCAGGAGTGGGGTGGGTGCTGCAGTTTTTTGTGGTAGAATGTGTATTGGGGATTTGCTCTAGAGGGACATATGTCCAGAATCCCACAGTCCTGGTTGTAAAAGGAAAAGGAACCTTCTATCCTTGCCTTCCCTCTGCTCCCACAAGTGCTGCCTGACCAACACATGCAGTTGCTCCTGCAGCCTGTCTCACCCCATGGGTGGCCAGGAGGAGGGGAAATCTCTGCAAAATCATMGGATCATGGATCACAGGATCAATGAAAAAGACCTTTAAGTCCAACCATTAAACTAACAGCATTGAGTTTATCACTAGACCATATCCCTAAAATAGGGAAAAATCTCAGTGCACTTCCACAACAGAGATGTCACCTACTCCTTCCTTTCTGTAATGGTTTGGGGCATCTTGTTACAATGTCTTGATTCTGCAAATTGTAGAATAAGGAAACAACCTGATGGGAAAGTGATGCAAGTAAAATGTGCTTTTCCTGTGTTCCCAACCACTGATCRCAACTAGTGCTATTAGTGTTGTCTTTGCCTTCATCTTGAGCAAATTCACAGCTTCAGTCCTCCCACAGGAGTAACTGTGGGTCTCTGCTGAACTCACGTGAAACTGCCGTGGATTTGACCTTGTTTTCACATCCAGATTCTCTGCTCTTGTAAGTATTGAATTCAATGCCAAATCCTGAATGAATCCCTCTTGCCTTATAGGAAAACCATTGAGTGTAGTAAATTTAAATAAAAAGTAAATGTCCACCAGCCTTCAGTTGTCTCTATATTTGCTTTGTCTTGTCTGTTTTGGATGTGYKTTAATTWATTGTTCATTTCCAGACAAAAATGGCACACTAGTGCTACTAATATTTTCAAAAAAGCACATGAGGAAAAAAGGTGCAACTGCTAACAAAGAATGGAGGCCAATTTATATATGTTTGGTATGAAAACTTTAATTCAGATAAATAAATTAAACATTAGAAAATGACAAAGTCTCTGAAGAACTTAAGCTTCACATTGAGATCATTTTAGTGGCAAACTTTCTGCCTATSTGATCAGAGAATGACAGATTTGCAGGRGGCAGCTTTAATTGCATTGAAAAARCTGCACAGTCTCATAAGATTTCATSTACTTGCTGATCTTAGATAAAGCTATTGTTTGAGTAAAGGAGGGGGCTGAAAGAAATTACTAGCAAATGTTTAGTTTCTGCAAATTATAGGGAAAATGACACTGATTTGCATAGATCCATGGACATGGGCATCAGGTCCCCAGATTTTCATGTTGAAAATSTGGTATGGTTTGCATTTGTGATTTAACAGGGGAGGACACTAGTTAAGACCTTTAAAGCATGTATGTGCACAGAGGCGTAATTGTTTTAGCTGCACTGTTGCTCCACAGCTCTAGTGAAAGTAATTTAACTTCTTTGTATGCTCAACTTCAAATTTCATAGCCCCTAACTGCACTTAAAAATTCATTTTTTGAAAATCTAACCCAGACTTTTGTAAAGAAGAGCCTCTCCGTAGCCATCTTCAGCGACCTAAGGGATTCAGATGATCTCAGTAGCAGAATCTAGATTGTACTTTGCCTCATTAACCACATTTTGAAAATCACCAGCCTGCTTTGCCAGGAATTAAGTTACATGATTTAAAATTAACATAAGAGTTTAGCATAATTGAAGTGGGACTGTGATATCTGACTTATGGGATTATAAGAGATAAAGGCATAATTTGCAGCATAAAAGATAACCTCTATTTTTAAAAGTAAATTTTAAAAGGTCAAAGTGTGAAGCTGCATTGTAACTGTTTATRTTTTGTAAGAATCCTGGGCAAAAACAAAAAGTGAAGGTCGTCCACTGTAACAAGCATAAAATCTCATCTCCACAACTGTGCACAGATGTTTGTTTTGCTCAGAAAATTATATTAAAGTATGCAGAAGAGGAATGAAAATACACTCYACAACATTCAGGGCGATTACATCTACACTAGAGATCAGCTGCGGCATGCAGAGCCTCTTTTAAGGGCCTTCATTACAGTAAATGCTTTTAGTTATGAACATTTCTTCATCTGAAGATCTCTAAGCACTTCTCTAATGCAGGTCAGTTGTCAGAGCAAGTCAAATGTGCTGTAAAGGCATTACAGGGAGGCTGTTRGAGGGCTGGAGTGGCAGGAGAGTGCTCCCTTGGCTCATGTCTCTTTTGAACACCCGACAGTCATGCTTCCCTCCTGAAATTAAAACTTGATTTTTGGAACTTAATGTTCCAAACTTCCAAACTAATGTTTGGAACTTAATGAAAGTTAAGTTCCTTTCTTTCTTCTAAAATAAATCAGTATTAATAAAACCAAATTATTTAATAACAATTCTTTTAAATAATAAATATATGAAAYATAAATAAGTAAACTGCCTAGGTGTGCACTCTCAAATTTTGATATATATGTCAACATAAGGCAGCTTCTTTTTTCCAGGTAGGATTTGGCTTTCAAAGCTCAGACACAGCCATTGTGCCCATCTCTTCTAAAACTGCTGCTAAACTGTTGCTTGCTGAAAGTCAGAGGTGTGCAGCCACAGTGCAATCAAACACAGCACATACTCCTGAAATTTCCTCTGGTGGAACTCCCCCAAAAGGCCAAATTTATTGGAGCTACTCCTGCCTCRGGCTGCACTGTCTTGGTGGTGTGTCATTGGAGATCATCGCTTTAATTTTAAATGTAGTTTAAATTTAACAGAAAATTGCAATACGACACTTTGCCTAAGTCTGAGAGGAAAATATTTTACTGGAGGTTCATATTGTATATGTAGGTTATGTGTAAAAGTCTTTGTTGTATGTGCCTTCAGGCTAACAATACATCAGAAAAGTCTTTTTAACTGTAATGCTAATACCAGTTTATCAGCTTTACAACCTCCTGTGATGCCTTCAAAACTAAATTAATTTGGTCTTAGAACATAAAGTCTGAAATCTGACCATAAATAATTATACYTCATCAAAAATAGGGATGCACCTGTCTTGTATGAACCAATTCATACACAGTTCAAAGAGCAGGGCAGGCACACACAGTACTGGGAGGTGGAAGTACCTGATTTACCAAAGGACATCTGTTTATATCCCCAGATATCTGGAACTGCTCTTCCTTCTGAAATGTGTCTGAATGTGTGGAGGAAGGAAAAACTCATATTATTTAGCTTAATGAGAATTTCTTAGATTGTTTGGTGTTCATAAAAATATATGTTTGATGGGAGAACAGTTGTGCTTTTGGCAATGCAGCTGATTGCAGAGAGTCTCACGTGTTTCTTTGATGTCAGATATAGCTCTGCTCGTGGCTGCAGTGATGGACTCAGACTTAAGAGGTCTGGATCTTCAYCCAGGTTCTGTAACTTCATGCACTTGTTGGGCAAACATGAAATGCTCTCTGCCTTGGTGTCCCCATTGGCAATGTAAAAGGAAAGAAATGATACCGTGTGCCTTCTCCTAAAACCATTAAACTATGTGGCAAAAGAGCAGTGATTAGAAATCAGGTATTACTATGGAATTTAACTCACAGGATGTTCATTGCCTCACTTTTATGTTTTACTTCCAATGGCTTGGAGGAAGCTGGGGACTTCCCAGCTTTGCTCCAGCCGAGAAACAGATCATTCAGCTCTGTTCTGGGCAGTTGGCAGCCCTAAGAATGCAAGCTCTGTTTCAAAACACTGTGTATCTGTCAAGGCTATCCAGGCACTGCCTCAGCATTAAACCAGTGCCAGGTTGTCTGASCAGGGGAAAGTGCCCCTCCGGTTCCTTTGGGAGAGCAGACGGAGACAGGGTGAGAATCTTGCTGTCTCATTTTATTCTGAGCCCTGATGAAAGAGAAACTGTTTTATTTTGGTGCAGTAGCTGTAAATAAAGTGTTGCTCAGCTAGAGTGTTCTGCAGAAGCAGTGGATCCCATCCAGGTAGGCAAACTCGTGCCTTGTCCTAAACACCAGARCTGCATGACCCAGTACATAGGGCCATATTCATTCCCCCAACCCCTTCTGAGGTCCTGCCACTCCTTGTGACAGGCTCCAGTTTACCTGGCATGYTGGAACATCTCAGGATTTATCTCCTACTAACACAGCCACTGTTCCAATGACTCTGTGAAGGCTACAAACAACATGGGAATGTTGCTTTCTTCCTTTTGTCTTCAAAATATGACGTGATTCTCTCTTGAGAGAGAGAAAAGAGTCCTTACATCAGGAAAGGGAAAATCTCAAGGCCATGACCATAACTCTTTTTTTTTAGTATAGATAATTATGGCTTCCTTTCCTCTGTCTCCTCACATAGAATTTCCCTCCCTCTTTAAGGATGTC